GTGTTCTTTGGATAGATCAAGTTTTTTTTCCTGTGGACTTAGGTATATATTCTTTGTTTCTATGGTGGTTATCCTGAAGACCATATTGTTAGGCATTCCTACTGAATTGTTAAACTCATAATTTATATCTCCTTTATAAGACAAATAGTACATTTATATTCTTCTTAGCTCATCTCCTACCCACACTCCACCATCCCTTTAATAGTCTCTAGAATTTCAATGCTTTGAAACTTTACTTTTTCCTAGTCCTTTTAAGACAACTTTACTAGGATATTGGACATTACTTGCTAACCTTGAATCCACCTCAATGTTCCTCCTCCATTTTGAATTTTCTCCCGTGGTTTTTTTTTTTTTTTGGCAGGGGACAATGCTGGGGGGCAGTTTGGGGGAGATGGAGTCTCGCTCTGTTACCCAGACTGGAGTAGAGTGGCATGATCTCTGCTCATTGTAACCTCCACCTCCTGGGTTCAAGGGATCCTTTTGCCTCAGCTTTCCAAGTGGCTGGGACTACAGGTGTGCACCACCATGCCGTTAATTTTTGTATTTTTTAGTAGAAGCAGGGTTTCACTATATGTTGGCCAGGCTGGTCTCGAACTCCTGACCTCAGGTAATCTGCCTGCATCAGCCTCCCAAAGTACTGGGATTACAGGTGTGAGCCCCAAGAGTTTTTAAAGGAGGGTTTTGTGTAAAACCTAAGGCCTTGTAAACCTAAGCATATGCCCTCATGACTAGACAGTTTGCCTGGATATCAAATTTTAGGTTGAAAATAAAGTTTATCTTGCTGCTGTTGTGGATCTGATTGCAAGTGATACTTTTTTCTTACTTTTTTCTTTACTGGTGGTCTGTACTTTTCCTCTGGAAGTTTTGAGAGTTTATATTTTTTTTCTTAAATCCCACTAATAGCATATCCAGGCTTGGAAGTTTTGTCTTTTCTGACATTATTCTTTCAAATTTTCTTCAAGTGTTCTTTCTTTTCCCCCTCTTTTGGGACTTCTGTTATTTGGATGTTATTTCCATCCTCTATAGTCAGTTTCTAATTTTAGCTTTTTATACAGGACTGCTTTCTGAAAGCATATCTCAAGTGGATCTTTCAGTTCATTTGTTTCCCAACACTATCACTTCTGCAGTATCTCATTCTTGTTTTCTGTTTTAACTGTTTTCATACTCAACTTTTCTTTAGTCTTACTTTGGCTTCATATTGCTATCTTCATTCTTATTGTAATTTCTTACATTAAATTCTTAGCCCATGTTTTCCAATAATTTATCTTCAGTCTGTGGCCTTCACACACACACACTCACTCTCTCTCTCTCTCTCTCTGTCTCTCTCTCACTCTCTCTCTGCATGTACTTCTCCAGCATCTAGTTACTTCTGCTCTGAGTCCAAATTCTCCTGCAGGTATCACCCCTTGGCAGACAATCTCAGGCATCCAGAACTATGGACACTGTTTGCTTTCCCTCTAACAAGTATTAGGTCAAAGTTTCAACTCCAAATTATTAAGAGTGGCATGGAAAGAATCTGTCACCCTAGGTTGCAATTCACCAATTCTAGGATTTAGAAGCAAGGAACCTCTAGGAATGGCAGACTGAAAAACTCAGATCTAATACCCCAACTAAGGACTATTAGAGAAACTGGACATATCATGAAATATTGAAGTTCCATGTGGGCCATGACAGGATTCTTGCCCTACGTGGCATCCCTAGTATAATCTTCTCAAAGGTGCTCCAAAGTCTGAGTTTTGTTCCCATCCAATGACCCTAGACCTGTCTTTGCCTTGTATCCCTATTGCCTGGACAGTCTGTTCTTTCATGTGTGCGCATTGCAGATTTTGTCCTCCCTCTGATTATTTTGCATTCTTATGCAGACGTTCCTCAGATTCAAAAGTCAAGCCACTCTAGTTGAGCTAAGGTCACCACCTTGTGCTAAAAAACTTTGTAAAGGTAAGATGGTATTTTGCTGAAGATTACTATGTAATATGCATATGAAACACTGTGCAGTGCCCATCAATTTAGAATAGCAACTTTTCCCAGTTCTCCCTTGTTTTGGGTCCTATGCACTGTCCTCCCAGCCTTCGGTGTTGCCTTGTATCTCCTTCCACATTTCTATTTTCATTAACAAAGGAAGCCAAGGATCATCTCATTTCTCTCCAACCAGGGAAGAGTTCTCATTTCCAAACTAGGCCTACTGGAGAGAATGAGGGTCATACTCCTCAGGCACACTTGACAGTCAACCACAGTCAAGGATGGTGGTCCTTGCTGCTTTAGGTTGTAATATCCCCTGTCCATACCATGAAAGCCTTTCCTACTTCTGACCATGTAAGCCATAAATTGTCTTTATCAGCAGCTGGTTGGGAGATGAGTGGCCAGATGATGTGTGTTCCAGTTACAGTGCCCTTAGGGGTATCAATCTGTTGGTCCTCTGAGGTCTTTTGGATAACTGAGGTTAGACTGGTTGGCCCTTTGGCCTGGTTCTGTAATATAATAGCGCAAGTATTGAAGAATCAATCCATACCTGCACCACAGCTATGTTCCAGAGATCATCTCAGTGCATATGAGATGGCAGTTTTGGGTGAGGATGATCTGGTGTGGGTAGTGACTGGTGTCTCTTTCTTCAGAAAAATATCACAGAAGCCTACCAGGTCAGCAAGAAGGCTCCAAAGTCCATGGCAAAGGTGATTAAGATTGCAGCCCCTGCCAACAAGACCATCTACAACTATAGTATTCAGACCCTGAATTCTACAGAACTTGCCAAAAAGGAGCTGTATAAAGAGATGGCCAAGGTGAGTGACAGATCTAGACAGATGATGGCAGTTGGCAAATTCAGTGAATTCTTTCCTCTGACCATCACTGCCTGGAGGTCAGCATGGGATCTCAGGTCTACAGATGAAAGCCAATCAGCTAGGGGAAGTAGACAAGGCTCAGATGTTGAGAGGTGTTCTATTCCACACTAAATGTGAATCCTCCACACCTGAGGGTAAGCAAGAGATCCTCAGTGTAAGCTCAGATGTACATAAAGAACAACTGTACTGTCCTTACTTCTGGGGAACACTTTATGATTGCTGCTTATGAAGGCAGCTGCCACACAGAAGAGAAATCCACGGTTTAGGATTCCAGCACACATTAACTTTAGGAAACTGCTTCTCCCATCAAAGGGGACAATGATATGACCCTTACAGGGATGCTGCACAGTTCAGATTCTCTCAATGCACCACTTATGTTGTCAGGACCTATGATTATGCCCCCAGCTGTTTCTCATTCCTACTTGGAAATTCAGGATTGCTATCAGCCCATCTACCCAGATCTGTCTGCCCCCATTTCTAGGAACCAGGAAAGAGATTCACGTACTCACAGAATTACCTCTCAGCCATGGTGGAGCCCCTGGACTTGAAGGAAGAGGAAAAGCAAGCCCAGAAGAAATCCCGCCAGGCCTGGCTCACAGCCAGGGGATTCCAAGTGACAGGTCTTCAAGGCGACACTGAAGGCAGCTTTCAGCATCTCAAGCTGCCACACATCAAAGAGCTGAATGAGGTCCACAGGGAGGAGCAGGGCTTCAGGTGGGGTGTCCATAGGGACCTTTCTCCTCCTGATTTACTTACTTCCCCAATTTAGGAGTGGAAGGAAAACTCCCTGTTTGCTAACGTACTGGAGCCTGTGTTGGATCGAGACAGGTGGAGCTGGGACAGGCGCCACATGGACTTTGATCTGTACAAGAAGCCACCACCTTTCCTTGAGCTGCCCCCTTCTCCTGCACCGAAGTCTGTTAACAGGTAACACGCAAAGCTTTGCCAAGCTGGGCCTCCTGATGCTGTGGGCAGGCAGGAGCTGTACCACTCTGCATCTTCAGCAGTATCCACTTTGTTTACGTTATCAACCAAACTTCCTATGCTAAAAAATCAAGATGCAGAATGGGTCTGATAGAAGAGATTGAATGCTGGGCTGGAACTCAGACCAGGATTCTAGTCCCAGCTGTGACATTTGTGTGACTTCAGGTAAATCCCTCCATGCCCTGGGCCTGGTTTCTTGGCTATAAAAAGTGGGGAAGTTGGAAGACAGGTCTAAAGGCTTCCTGAGCTTCAACACTGTTACCCATGACTGATCTCTAGGTGTCCAGCCAAGAGGTAAGGGTAGAGGCTCTGGGCTTCACTGGGACCTTCCAGCTGCAAAGATATGCCAGTTCTCTGGGGGGGAAAGGCAGAGACAAGAAACACAGGTCTTGCTACACTAGTCCCTCCAAGTCCTCTTCCTCTTTATCCTTGTTTATGAAAGTTGACCTCAGGATCATCTCGAGGTTGACAGAGAACTTGTTAAGAGCCAGAACCTTTGTTCAGGGAGAAAGAGACATGGGCCTATCTAGCAGCAAGGTCTGTCAGAGAAACCGCTCCCAAAAAACTAGGTGAACACAATGGCTTGCTCTCCTCCCCTGACTCCTAAGGACAGGTGATCACAGCTCCATGGAAGAGCTAAACAAGTTTGCTGAAAAATCACTTGCTCCATTTGCCTAGATTTGGCTCCCTCCCTCCCTCCCCAATAGGACCTGGACCTCCTAGGGTTGCCTGAAGAGACCCTGTTCTCTCTGGGCGTGTCCCAGGCCCACAGTTACTGCTGTGGCTCTCAAAGGGGCTCCAGCTAGGAGAGCTGTCTACCCTAGAACACAAGGCTTTTCCTTGGCAAGAATGCCTCCTAGTGAGCTCCACTGCCAGCCCTTCCAGCAAGTCTGGGCATTTCACTGGTGAAATCATTTAAGAAACACATGCTGGGGCCTCCTCTTCCCACAACATGTTTAAGAACAGTTAGCAACTACAGATGAGAGGGAGAGGCTTGAACTGGTTGCTAGGCCTTTTCAACCCCAGATGGATGAATGGAGAACTTACTGCTGCCAGAGGCCTTACACGCCACCAGCCTAGAGTGAAGGCCCTTCCAAAGGGCTGCCCAGAAAGGGGGTTGGGGTCTGAAAGCCCCTTCCCAAACTTCCCCTGTGCAAAGAAACTCCAAGCAGCCTTCTGTCCAGAGGTATGGATGCTTAATTTTGTGCAAAATGCTTCCTTGTCATCATTAACAAAACAGATCTTCAGGTTTCACTGAGGTTATTTACAAGATCACAATATTTATAAACTTTCCCATTTTAAAAACTAGTTACCAAAGCCCTGGCAAGAATGCTCAGGCCAGCTCAGCTCTCCAAGTTCCCAGTCTCCTCCTTGCCTATTTCCAGCATCACAGCAAATTAGGAATATACTTGGAAGAAAAAGAGCTAGCTACCTCCTCTGTGATCAAGGGAATGTCCACTATAGGTATTTTAGAGCTCCAGACCACCCAAGGACCACACCAAAGCTTGAAGTTTGCCACAGTGAGCATGCCTGGGACTTGGCATATCTCACAAGTACCAGCAGGATGGAGGCTGGAGAAATGCAAAGGCTTGCTGGGGCAGCCTGGAGATACCACGCATCCTCTTGAGAGTGGAGGCCAGTTCTTGTAAAAAAAAAAAAAAAAAAAGTCCCTAGGTAGCAACATCAGCTAAGGCAGCCTCCTCATCTCCTAAGAAAAACTAAAGGCTCGTAACCATAAGGCACTGCAGCCTGCCCCATGTGCCTGCTCCTTAGCATTCTGGGCCTTCCTTGCAGGGTGAGGACAAAGCGGACCTGAAGCCATCACCAAAGGGTGGTTCTCAGGGTCCTGTTGTCACCCATTGAAGGCTGGTTCTGAGGAACAGTGTGATGAGTACAGCAAAGGCTAAGAGTACACAGATTGTGACGTTTTCTATTCTTCTTTGTTAAATGGTTCCTGGTATGTTTTAAGTGCCTCTGCTTCTAGTTTAAATGAAGGACCCAGACGCAGCTTTCAAGCTATTTCCTAGAGAATGTGTGGTTGAGCAGAAATGGCTATTCCCACCTGATATCAGGTCCCCACCCGTCTCGCCCTGGAGGCAGCAGCACAAGCCCCGGTTTCCACTGTGGTGTCTCCTCAATGACCAGAATACCCGCCAATTCCAGAGGTCAGCAATTCCATTCTTTCTGTCTGGCTCAGTTCAGAGGCTGTGATGGTCCTGTTAGCACTGCACGCAGGTTAAAACCTGGAAGAGGCTCCCCCATGCCAGGAGACAACCCTTCAGGTGCAGACTGGGAACAAATGGCTCAACCTGTGATAAGCCCAAGTTCTCCACCTTCTGAAAAAGTAGTGACAGTCATCCAGCAACGGGCCACAGCTGGGGGCAGGCGGTGGCAGTGGACACTATTCCCTGCCTCAGTATGTCCTGTCCAGAGGGTGGGCACAGATATAGGTTCGTTTCTCAAGGATCTGCTGGGACATTTTCTTAATCTGCTCATCTGTGTTTTCTGGAGCATCTGGGAAGAAAAAGGAGAGATGGTGAGTGATTTTCTGCATTGTGGTAAGACAAACATGGCTGAAGTGGGGGCATTTTTTCACAAAGCCCACCTACCATGAGGCAGCCCTAAGGGTGATCCCCCTCCTCCAAACCCCTAGCAAGTAATTCTGGGCTACAGGGAGAGAAAGCTGGTAGAGCTTCATTCTCAGTTACAAAGGGCTCATCTCTAACCCCCAGATCTCATGGGGTGGAGCTGCCGCTTGTTCTGTAAATGCCCCATCTGTGATTCCAACCCACTGGAGGAGAAACCATTTGAGCACTCTCTATAGCACATAACCCATGAGCACTGGGTAGGGGGGTGCCTGGGCCACCCCCGCAGGCCAGGACCTGCAAAAAGCATATGCCACTCTTAGCGAGTGCCACAGTGCTAGCACCTACCCCCATTACTTGGCAATAGGACTGGGCTCTGCAAGGACATTGACCCAGAGCCTCAGGCCAACATGACTGTGAGGGTCAGAAGTGGACTGAGCTGGGCATTGCCAGATATGGTGGAGTTGCTATAGAAGAGGAAGAGCACTCTAGATAAGACAGGAGCATGAGCAAAGCGCTCTGTTCTCTCAGCCGAGGCTGAGCCCTCTGCAAGGCACTGCAAGGTCACTTTAGATGGAGTGCAGTGGGTAAAAGGGCAGATAAAATGCTGTCTCCCAAATCTCCAGATCTTACAACCAGGTGCTCCTCCCTTTGTAAGCCTTCCCGGGGCAGCTTTAAGAATACAGTCAGGGTTAGGCACGGTGGCTCACGCCTGTAATCCCAGCATTTTGGGAGGCCAAGGTGGGTGGATCACCTGAGGTCAAGATTTGGAGACCAGCCTGGCCAACATGGTGAAACCTCATCTCTACTAAATATACAAAAATTATCCAGGCATGGTGGTATATGCCTGTGATCCCAGCAAGGCTGAGGCAGAACTTCTTGAACCTGGGTTGCAGTGAGCAGAGATTGTACCACTACACTCCAGTCTGAGTGACAAAATGAGACTCTTGTCTCCATCTCCAAAAATAAAAAATAAAAACAGCCAGGCATCAGGCAGCATGCTGGGCAGATGCCAGGGGCCCTGCACAAGGGGCTCTGCACTTGCTTGATCTATAACTGCCTTGGTGAATGGAGCAGCTTTGCACCTACGGTGCCTGACAGGGACTGCTCCAGCTAAGCCCAGGCCTACCCAGGCCCTCACTCAAGGCAGAGGTCTGTGAGCAGCCAGCAGGCTCTGGGAGCTTGACAGGGTCCAGAAACAGCTCACCACCAACAGGGGCCCAGAAGTGGGTCCTTCCTTCCCTCCCCCAAGACATGCCACTCACACTTGTCCAGCTGAGTGAGGCTGAAGAGATTCTGGAAGTAAGCTTCCGTGCAGAAGGTGCTGGCCAAGAGAGCCTGCCAGAATCAAGGACAGAAAAGATGTACCCAAATCCCTGTAATCTGACCTCCGAGCTTCAAAAACCCAGCCTGTCAGCCAAACTGGGTAGCATGGGAGGGGTCAAAGGGCTTGGCTCAGGAGTCACCCCTGACCCAAACTAGCTCTTTTCCCAAAAGCAAGAGACTCAACATCTCTGAGCCTGTTTCCTCTGAGAGGCAGACCACAATCCTGGTTATCTGCAGGCTAATCTGGAAAGTGGAGGCAGAGCCTGGTACACGGTGGAGGGGGCACTGTGCAGGGTCTGCCACTCGTTGTGGGTGGGGACACTGAATCAGGAACCCCCATCACTCAGCTGAGTCTTCTCTCAGGCAGGAAGAAGAAAGGGATCAGCCCCATCTCCTGTGCCGCACAGACCCTGCCATTGCATAGCGAACCTGCACAGCCCTTCCCATAGCCATGCGGGCCTAAGGACACCCCCTGAACTGGCCTGGCCCTCCTCACCCGCCCACCCCCTCCCCAACAATCAACTTCATTAATGTGCAGCAGGACAGAGGCCAGCAGCCAGGCCCTGTGCGAGGCTGGGCAGTGCTCACCTCGTGGTCGTGGTTACGGAGCCCGATGCGGATGGAGCGGCTGGCCCGCGACAGCACAGCCGTCATGCCATACAGGTTGATGAGAATGTTGGCCACACGCTTCAGCACCAGCTGCTCCTCCCCGATGGTCTGGGATCACAGAGGCTCTGAGTGGAGACTCACTACCTAAACCAGCCCCAACATGGTCCCTCCCAGGGCCGCATCTTTGCCTGTCTTAGTCTGTGTTCCTTGAGAAAGTGGAGCCAATAACACCTTCTGTTTTCCCTTCTCTTTGGTCTCTAGATTCAGGGAGGGGGTTAAGGCACGACCAGCAGCCAGTGCCTACTGTGCTACTGTCACCTTTGGCAGTAAGAGCCCCACCAATCAGATCCCCAGATTCAGGCCCCAGGTGGGGCTGCCCTCCTGATTCTAGGGAGCCTCTCTCTATCTGGAAGGTACACAGAAAAACACAGCAGAAAACTCACCCAGTAAGGGTGCCCTCTGAGTAGCTAAGTGGGCCCCAGGACAGGCTGATAAAGCCAGCCTGACCTCAGCCACCCCATCCCTCCAGGGTGATCAAGATTTCTGTTCTGGCCGGGCGCAGTGGCTCATGCCTATAATCCCAGCACTTTGGGAGGCCGAGGTGGGTGGATCACGAGGTCAAGAGATCGAGACCATCCTGGTCAACCCGGTGAAACCCCGTCTCTACTAAAAATACAAAAATTAGCTGGGCATGATGGTGCGTGCCTATAGTCCCAGCTACTCGGGAGGCTGAGGCAGGAGAATTGCTTGAACCCAGGAGGTGGAGGTTGCGGTGAGCCGAGATCGTGCCATTGCACTCCAGTCTGGGCAACAACAGCGAAACTCCGTCTCAAAAAAAAAAAAAATTCTGTTCTGGGCCTGGAGGGCCTGGTTACCTTGCCAAAGCGGAGCAGCAGCGTCTCCACGGTCCGGCCGAAGTAGTAGGTGTTCTCCTCTAACTTGGTGGCACTATCCTATTAGCCAAGACAGGACTCAGTTCAGCACCTCATCCCTACCAGGCCCAGTCCTGTCCCACAGCCCAGGTACCAGGCAGAGATGTCCTATCTGGGGGAGGCAATCCAAGGTGGCGTGGACTAGCTGGTGCTCCCCAACTTCCCCTGGAGGAGCCTAGACCGCCCCCACAGTAAGATCCTTTCTGCCATGAGGAGATCTGGCAGGAGGGCATCCAAGTAGGGGGTATACCTGCTGGGCCCACTTACCTCAAGACTGGGGTGTATGACTCCAAGTTTGCCTGTCAGCTCCATGTCCACCGTTCTGCCCGTGAAGTCCCAAAGCCTCCGGCCAACAGTCTCCATGACTGTGGTCACAGTGGCCCGTTTAAGCTCACTGCAGAAAGTCCATGGTCCCGTAACTGGAGGCCCTGCTGCTAGCTCTCATCGTCCAGCAACATGGCCTCCCTGGCCTGGGTATGCCGGGCCCCTGGCTACAGGCTGAACCCTCCCCACCCCATCACCTTCGGGAGAGCCACACGTGTTCTCCCCCATGAGAAGTGGAGTCACAGCCAGTTTCCCAGTGCCTGTCTCCCATGAAGGAGACAAAATTCTACTAGCAACCTATACTTGGCCTCCAGCAGAGATTTTGGATTGCTGTGCCCCTAGGATGGGGATGGAGGGGAGCAGGAGGGAGGTTTGGCACCTTTAAGGGGATACCTCTTATTCTTCAGGTTCTGAAAAACGAGTTGCCTCCAGTGTGGGGGACCAGAAGGGGGATATGGTGTTCATGCTGGAGCTATAGGCTGGTGTGGCCATAAGGGCAGGGCAGCGAGCCCCCCGCCACCACAGGGGAAGGTCTCCTCTGCAAGGCTATGCCATGCCCCCCACTCCACCATTCCCACACTCCAGGCCAAGGCAGCCCTTTCCTCCTGCTGCCCTGGACTGGCCCCTGCTGGGCAGGTGTAGGACCCAAGGAGCAAACAGTGACAATGGGACCTACTGGATCCTGGCGGTTATGATGCGGCCGGCATACTGCAGACCCGTCAGGGCGATGTACATCCGGAGAATCTCGTTGGTTCCCTGTGGCCAGTAGTGCAGAGGTCAAAGGCTGTCTCCTCCCCTCTGCCAGGCAGCCATGGTGGTGCCACATGTGCTGGGTAGGCCCAGCCACTGCCTGCTTGCCCATGCCACAGAAGCCACTGCTTCTGAAGCAGCTGGGAGCAGGGCTCTGACCAGGGCTCAGGGAGCACACCAGATGGCCATGGGCTCCCACTGGGACCCCCCCCATCTCTCCATGACCAGCCTCACGTGTGTCACGTATTTCTCCAAGTCTCCAGCTCCTCTTTAAAATGCAAACTAGTTTCCCTGAGGGGTGCCTGGGGCGCAGCCAGTGCCAGACAGACACTGCTGGCTCCAGGTGGAGGCCAGATTCCTCACAGAGGTCACAAATTGCTTAACAGGAGTGGCATCTAGAAGCTCCTCAGTGCCAGGTGTCATCACCCAGAGGGCTACATGCTCCCCACTCCCCCGACCTGTGATTCTGATCAGAGAAGCTGGTAGGCTTCTGCTCACTCTGCACAATGGCCCTGTGTGTCAGGTGCAGGAGCCTGACCCAGGCCACATAGCCAGCACCTGGGACTGAGGACTATCTCCTGCAACCAGACAGATACCACAGATAGCAGGACTCCTACAGGAAAAGGGGAGGACTGTGGAGGCCTCCCGGCACACCAAGCAAACTCCAGACAGGAGCTCCTGCCCCACAGCAAGAGTTCTGTGTTTTTCCAAGGCCTTGAGGGCTTCTTGAACGCTGCTGACCACCCCAGCCCCAGAGAAGCCCAACCCTCCCAGGCTGAGGAAAGGGCCGAGACCACTCCAGTGCCCTCAGGCTGGCCCTTGCCCTGTCTGTCCACTAAAACAGCAGAGATGGCTGGAACCCAATGGGCAGGCTGGGAACAAAAGCAGCCAAGGAGGCCTCCCACTGGGCAGGACAGGCCCAGGAGACAAGATTACATTCCCAGCGGCTGACAACGCCCCTCATTGCCAGACCTGCTGCTCAGGACCAAACCCTCTCCCTGTCTCAGGCCTGCCTCCTGTGTACGCACCATCATATCCCACCCATCCTGCTGTGTTCTCTTAGTTCTAGCCCCTCCCTCCCAGCAGGAGAGCCCCTGGCCTCTGGCCTCATCCCTGCAACTCATTCTCCACATGAGCCTCTGGGGGGGATTTCCCACAACACAGATACAACCAAATAATGCCCGCTTAAAGACGTTTTATGGCTTCCAAATTTCTCTGCTGTCAATCAAGGTCTTCCACAGTCTGGCTGCTTTTCTAGCCTTCCCATGCACCTTCTGCAACACCCTCAAACCCACTGCCTGGCATAGCACACCTAGCAGGACTGACTGCTGCTTCCAGAAAAGTCCTTCTCTCTTCATTCACCTTGTGCCAGCAGATAAGTCCCATCTGGGCCTGGCGCACTCTATTTCCCTACCCTTCAGGACACATTGCCCTCCCCGGCCTCAGCCCTTGTCAAAGCCTGTTCTTTCTGCCCTTAAGGGCCAGGAACACATGCTTCAGAAAACTCTGGCTGCCTGTGGAGGGTGCCCACTCCCTGCCTCTTTGCACTTGTACTCTGTCATCTCCCTTGGTCAGCACAATCAGAACACAGCACCCAAAGTCTCTGTGGCCTAATTCCCTCCCCTGCCACCTGGCACATGCTAAATGAACCAACTCTTCAGTCTTGTGACTTGATCGAGGGCAGCAATTGGGAATGAAACATGCCAGGGCTAGCAGAGCCCTTGAGAGCCAATCAGAGCATGCAATCCAGCCCTGGGCTGTGGGGACCACTTCGGGGACCTCTGCAAGGCCCTGAGCAGCTTCTTTAGGACCAGGCAGGGTGGGGCTGGAGAACAGCCTAGCTGGTAGCAGGGCCACTCACCTCGAAGATGAGGAGGATGCGGGTGTCACGCAGTATGCGCTCGTACGGATAGTCCCTCATGTAGCTCAAGCCCCCGAAGATCTGCAGCGCCTCATTCACACACTGCCAAGCAGCCTCAGAGCTGAACACCTGTGGGCCCAGGGCAAGGTCAGCATGGGGTGTCACACTGATTCCCTTCCAAAAGGAGGACCTATGCTATAGGGATCTGGGTGGCTGGGGAGGCGTGGGAGGCACCCAGACTTGGGGAAGACATCGGGCAGGGAGGAACTCGAGGGGTCAGGTGGGCAAGTCCTTTGCCTTCCTTGGCCACACCGGCCAGCTTGTGGTCCCCATCCCACCATGACCTTCTGGGCCCACCTTTGCCCCCTCTGTACCTGGCTGAGCTCCTCTTCCCTTAAAACCCATTTAAGATCTTCCCTTCCCCAGAAAGCCTGACCTGTTCCTGCCCAGCCCTGGTGGCATGACTTCTTTCTGTCTCTGCACACTATAAGCGCCTTGGGGGCAGACATACTGCCATATTAAGCTCTAGGCTTAGCATATGGAAGAGGCTGGCCCACAACAAGCTAATGTCTGTGGTCACTGTTCATGGGTGACAAGGCGACGAGGTGATAAAACATGTGCAAATGCACCCAGTATGCAGGCTGTAACTAGAAAAGACTCAAAGGCCACCCAAGATGCCCAATCTTTTTTTTAATTTTTTTATTTTTTTCAGGGACCTTCCCACTTCAGGATCCCAACCTTATAGGTAGACTCTCCTGCTGATACCAGGATGTTCACTTCTCTAAACTGCTAGACCTCTCACCATTTCTCTCAGGAGCTCAATTTCAGCTTAAAAATAATTGTTGGGGGGAACAAAGTAGGGTCCCCTAAAGGGTGGCCATCTTTTTTATACAGCTAAAAATGACTCCCTCCACCATGAACAAAACAAAAGCAACAGAAAACTCTAGTAGCTACCTCAACCAAATAAGATAATCTTCCTACCTCAGCCTCCCAAGTACAGGTGTGTACCACCACGACGGCCAATTTTTGTATTTTTTTGTAGGGATGGGGTTTTGCCATGTTGCCCAGGCTTGTATACTTAGTTTTTTTTGTTTTTTTTTTTTTGAGAGGAGTTCACTCTTGTTGCCCAGGCCAGAGTGCAGGTGGCTCACTGCAACCTCTGCTCCCTGGGTTCAAGCGATTCTCCTGCCTCAGCCTTCCAAGTAGCTGGCATTACAGGTGCCCGCAACCTTGCCCGGCTTTTTTTTTCTATTTTTAGTAGAGATGAGGTTTCATCATGTTGGCCAGGCTGGTCTTGAACTCTAGACCTCTGTGATCCACCGCGCCTTGCCATATATTTAGTTTTTAAGAGGACGTTTTGAAACCAAAAAGTAGGAAGGCCATAAATTAAGGAAAAAAGTTCTCACAAAAGCCAGCTGCAATGTTATTATTCTAAAAGGATGTTAACAGAATGGTCTCCTTCTGCTATAAACTGCTGATCCACTGGCAAAAGTTTGGCAGAAACTGCACTGTGAGAGCATGGAGCCTTCCTACAAACTGCTGCTCACCAGTCACTTCCCTGCTGCTGCTCCCTGCCCGCTGCCTGCCTATCCCTGGAGTGCTGCACAGGGCGAGTGCATCATAAATACTGGATCAATGACAGGTGGAAGATGACAGGCAACAGCAGCGGCTTGAAAGGTCACAGTGAGGGAGCTTTCCCAAGCCTCCCTCCAGCGCCAGCTCTCTGGCTATGCCAGGGTTACCTTCACCATGGCTGCCTCGATGGAGCAGTCGGGAAAGCCCGGTTGGTCTAGCATCCCTGCCGTGAGGTAGGTCATACTCTCTATGGCGTAAGCCTTCTGAGCCATCAGTGCAAGCTTCTCCTGGAGTATTCAGAAAAAAACATAAGAAGCAATTTGCATGTGCTGAGAGCCAAATCTTCAAAACAGGAGAGAAAGTAATTAAGTCAGAATCCTGATTTCCCAAGAGAAGCAGGCCCAGCGACCCTTGTCAAATAAAGCCTTAACTAGTCTTCTTCCCAAATCACCACAGAAGAGTCACCAGTACAGAGACATCAAAAGAACACACTGTCATGTCACACAGTGAAATCCACAAAGACAGCACTCAACCATCTATACCTGAATCAATCCAAATTCGCTGAGTCTCTTGTTAAACTGTTTCCTTGTGCAGGCGTACTCAGCAGCCATTTCTGAGGAAGAGCAGAGTCATTAGAAAGAACTGGAACTTTACTGTTATTGAAACATAATTTCCTATGGCCATCATCTTTACCCTTCCCACAGGTGGGCACTATGAGAAGCATGTCTGCTGAGGTCAAATGCCCCAGAAGCTGGTACCCCCACTTGCCAGCACCCATGGGTCAGAGGAGAACCACCCCTCCTCATGGCACCTACAGTTTAGCATCAGATACAGACTTGAATCCTGGCAATGATTCTTACAGCCAGTGGCCTGGGCCAAGCATGTCACCTCCCTGAACACCACCACCTACATCAGAGTCGCTGTGAAGATACAACCAGGGGGAAGGCTGAGGGCTCCTCACACAAAGCCAGGCACAAAGGCCCCAGACAGAGGTGGTGCAGGCCCAAACCCAGCACACAGTGCTCTTGACCAAAGCAGGTGGGGCCGCCTGGCTTGAATATTCGGGCTGGGGCTTCCAGGCATGTGGTTGTGACAAAGTGCTGAGCTCTGAGGGCCCATGAGTAACATGGTGCCTCTCCCAGGCAGCACTCCCCCCGACCCCCCGCCTGTGGCCGTGTTCTCCACAGGCTCTCCCAGGTGTGGCACACTCAGGAGGTGAAGAGGGCTGAGCTCCCCCAGAGGACTTGCGAGTGAGAAAAGCCCTGAGCCTGGAGCCTGAGAGCTTTAGTTTTGGGTCCAGTTGCCCTCTCTGAGCCTCTGTCTTCTCATTTCTAAAATGGAGGTAAACCAAAACAAGTATGCCCATCTTGGCCCAAAAGAGGCCAGCCCAGAGCCTGGCATCCAAAGAGGAGCTTCATAAAGCACTTAGGGGTGTGCCATCCCAGGCATTTCCATTTCCTCACAGATGCTTCCACAACAGACAGGATGGTTACAGGGTTGTTCTAAGTTCACTGGCAAAGGAAAATGGAGGTTTCAGGTATCCTGACAGAACAGAACAAAGAAAGATCCAGAGGCCCAGGGACCTGGGTTCCAAACCCGACCCCACTCCCCACGCACCATGCAGTCACCGAGGAGGCGTGAAACTTGGGCACCTGAGGCCATGTGTCCTGGGAGTCTGGCTCGTGGTGTGTGCTCACCAAGAAGCTCTGCCCCTACTCCTCTCGCCCCAGACAGAAAGTCTGTTGCCCCATTCCCATCCCCTGTGTGGAGGTGAAACAGGAATTCGAAGACGACAAATCTGGAGGCAGGCTGAGGAGACCCTCTGGTCTCCACAAAAGCCCAGGGCTGGACCCTCGGTCGAGGTGGCCTAGTTCAGCACCAGCCTGGAAGTGGCCAGGGGAATAGCAGAGCCTCCAGGGATGGAGCCAGGGCAGCAGGGAGTGGAGCACAAAGGGCCTTGTCCCTGACTTACCTACCAATCAATCTCTTGAGCATCCCAGCTACAGCACTGCCCATACTGAACCGGCCGCTGTTGAGGATGTCCATGGCCACCTGCAGGGAAAAAGGGAGAGCCCAGGGGCCCTGAAGGAGGCAGGGGGAGGAGGCCATAACCACACGTCTGCCTTTACCAGACCAGGCGAACGGGATCATTCCCTCGGACTGGAAGAAAGCACTGTCCTAACATCTCGGAACAAGGCAGTTCACTCACTGCTGCAGCTCTACCAATGTCCCCGCACACAAGAAAGACCACTGAACTTTATTCCAAAGGAACATGCCAAGAGCTGGGCATGGTGGCTCCCACCTGTAGTACCAGCATTTTGGGAGACCAAGGCAGGAAGATCACTTGAGCCCAGGAGTTCAAGACTAACTTAAGCCCAACAGAAATTCTACATTTACGTATAAAGCAAAATAACTGAAAACATATTTCCACACAAAAACTTGACATGAATGTTCATAAGCATTATTGATAGCCGCCAAAAGTGCTAACAACCCCAATGCCCATCAGCTGGTGAATGGATGAACAAAATTGCTTTCTCCACTCAACAAAAGATAATTTAGCCATAAAAGGAATGAATTACTCATTCATGCTACAAGAGAGATGAACCTTGAAAACATCACACTATGTGAGAAAAGCCTGTCACCAAAGACTGGATCTTGCATATGACTGTATTTCTATGAAATGTTCTGAACATGCAAATCCATAAGGACATAAAGCAAAAGAGTAGCAGCCAAGGGATGGGGTAAGGGTCTTACTGACAGTACGTTTCTTTATGGGGTAAGGAAATGTTCTGCAATTAGGCACAGGAAGTATTTGAACAAGATAGCGAATATACACTGAAATACACGTTTTAAAATGGTGAGTCCTTTGTTCTATGAATCATCTCTTGATAAAAAAATATTTCACTTTAGTCTAAAAAGAAAAGAGTGGGGCAGGGAGGTAGATACACAGCTTGAGCTTCACTGGAGCCCACGGGCTGCTTTCTCACACCCGCTGTGGAAGGGGATCCTAGACTCTGCTCAAGGTGAAGGAAGATTCCCAACCTTACCACATACTCCTTTTAGGAGCCAGCCAATTTTCTAGTCTCCATTTCCGACTTCCCAACAGATAACCATGCGAGGTCACCTGCCAAGCACAGGCTGCTCTGCTATGAGCAAGGATGGGGCAAAAGCTGGGAGCCAACAAGTCGCACTTGAGACACTACATGGTACTCACAAGGGGCTGTGGCTGGCAACTCACCTTAAACCCACCTCCGACCACTCCAAGGACATTTTCCACAGGTACCTTGGTGTCTTCAAAATGGACTTCGCAGGCTGAAACACATGAAATTTAAGATCTCATCTGACAATGCAAAAAACCACTCTGCATTTGACCTGCAAAAGCAGGTAATTCATCCGTCCGTCCGTCCGTCCAACATTTGGTAAGACAGTATAGAAAGACAAAGTTCCTGTCTTTGTGGAGTTCATACTTTGGTTAGGGAGATAAACTATAAACAAAACAATGTATTATTGTAATCAGTGCAATGGATGAAATAAACAGGGCAACACGATAAGGAGAAATGGAGGCTGGCAAGGGGATGGATAATAATATTTTTACTAAGGGCTATGTCAGACTTTTGTAAGGTGGCATTTAGCAGAAGTTTAAAGAATGAAAAGAGCCAGGCATATAAAGAGCCACAACAAGCAAAGAGAGGGAGAGAACAGCATTTCCTAAGGTCTCAATTCTTAACTCTAATACAACCACACCCCTGCAATCTAACTGTAGCACTATCCCACTGTGGGGAGGGGTGGACCTCCCTCCCTTTCCCTGTCTGCTAGGTATGACCATGTGACTTGCTGTGGTCACTAGAATAGAGCTGAGCCAACATGAACAGAGGCCTTAAATGTGCTTTTAGGGTCATGCCTCTAAAAGCCAGCATTTTGGGAGGCAGAGGTAGGAGGATCACTTGAACCCAGGTGTTCAAGACCAGCCTGGACAACATAGCAAAACCTCTATTTAAAAAAAAAAAAAAACAAGGTGGCCAGGCACAGTGACTCACACCTATAATCCTAGCACACTGGGAGTCTTAGGTAGGTAGATTGCACCTGAGCTCAGGAATTTGATACAAGCCTGGGCAACATGGTGAAACCCTGTCTCTACAAAAAACACAAAAATTGGCCAGGTGTGGTGGTACACACCTATAGTCCCAACTACTTGGGAGGGTGAGGCAGGAGAATCGCTGGAACCCAGAAGGCAGAGGTTGCAGTGAGCGGAGATCACACCACTGCACTCCAGACTGGGTGACAGAGGGAGAATCTGTCTCCTCCGACAAAAAAGTGCTTATATGAGGGCCAGGCATGGTGGCTCACGCCTGTAATCCAAGCACTTTGGAGGCCAAGGCGGGTGGATCACCTGAGGTTGGGACTTCAAGACCAGCCTGACCAAAATGGTGAAACCCCGTCTTTAAAAAAAAATAAAAATAAATAAATAAAACTAATAATAAATTAAAAAAAAAAAAATTTTTTTAAGTGCTTATATGGTTTGGCTTGGCCCCTTGGGTGCTTGTGATCTGCTCTAAGAACAAGCCTCCAGATGGACCTGAATCCAACTCACAGCCTGAAGCAGGCTGCCAGGCACCTGCAGACTGAGACAACTAAAGGCTGGGGGCTGTAAGCTGAGCTCTAAGGTGGTCTGTCCACCAGGACTGCCACAGTAGGAGATGACCACCAGGCCTTCAAGTGAGCAGCACTTGGCTGTGGGAACAAAGACAAAGCCCAGGTGGAACTCTTAATTTGATCTTTAAAATGCTTAACAAAAACAAAGTATTTAAATCTCATTTTGTCTTGCTATTTGGACAGAGTCAAGGGCCAGTCTCTCCCTATCTCTCTCTCAATCTCTCTCTCACACACACACCCCCCGAATGCTATTTGGACACAGTCAAGAGCAAGTCTCCCCCTAACACACACACACACACACGCACACACACCCCCCACACTCTACTTACTGTTGGAACCCCGAATGCCTAACTTATCTTCAGGTTTCCCATTAGTGACTCCACCAAAGTCTCTTTCTACTATGAATGCTGTGATTTTGTCTTTCACTGATCCATCAGAATCAACGACCTCAGTCTTTGCAAACACAGTAAAAATATTGGCCAGTCCTCCATTGGTAATCCAGACCTGAGGACAGAAAGAAGGACTTTGGAGAAAACCAAACCCCTATGTGAACCATCTCAGCTCTGTCTTTGCCCATCAAGCTCCAGCTGCCAGTCAGATCTCAGACCAGACATGCAGGGTCCCTGGCATTGCAGAAGCCAACCAATCATGAGGAATAGAGGACAGGGCTCAGCCCAGTCTCCCAGGGCAAGGATTTTTCCCAAGAGACACGCGTGGCCAGGGTGGGGCGGGAGGCGGGGGAAAGAACATCCAAAGTTGTCAAACAGCTCAGGCTCCACTGCCAGACAACTGCATTTCTTCAAGAAAGAAAAGGTTTAATCATTTCTCAAGGTATACATATATCAAAACATCATGTTGTACCTGTAAAATAAATACATTTACTTGTTAATTCTAAAACGATGAAAAAAAGAAGGTGGGAGGGTGGTGAGGAGGAGGAAAGGAAACAAGGGGACAGACAGAAAGAGACTCCTTAACAAATTGCCACAGATGAGGCAATCGGGGATATCTGAATGCTGATAGAGGTAAGAAATTACCAGCAGGGCACAGTGGTTCATGCCTGTAATCCCAGCACTTTGGGAAGCCGAGGTGGGCAGACTGCTTGAGCCAGGCATTTGAAACCAACCTGGGCAACATGGTGAAAACCCATCTCTACCAAAAAAATACAAAAACATTAGCTGTGTCCCTATACTCCCAGCTAATTGGGAGGCTGAGGTAGGAGAATCACTTGTGCCTAGGAAGCTGAGGCTGCAGTGAGCCAAGATTGTGCCACTGCACTCTAGCTGGGTTGACAGAGTGAGACCCTGTCTCAAAAAAAAAAAGGGAAAATTATCAATTTTTAAAATGTGATAATGGTATTATGGCTTTTTCTTTAAAAAAAAAAAAAAAGGCTTGTCTTTTGGAGAGACATGCTGAGACTGTTACCCTGCAACCTAGAGGTGGTGATGCTACTGCAAGACGCACAGTGGCCTGAGTAATGAGCGATGAGATTGACCCTGGGCCTGCCCTAAGGTGCTCCAAGCCCAGGAGCAGATGAGCAGATAACTGCTGGCGTTGGGGCCAGGCACACAGAACATGTCTGAAATTTTGTGTAACAAAAAATTTAAAACTTTTTTGGGGTTTACAGGCCAGTCACAGTGGCTCATGCCTGTAAACCCAGCACTTTAGGAGGCTGAGGTGGGTGGATCACTTGAGGTCAGGAGTTCAAGACCAGCCTGGCCAACATGGTGAAACTCCATCTCTACTAAAAATATAATTATTAGCTGGGTGTGGTGGTGCTCACCTATAATCCCAGCTACTCGAAAAGCTGAGGTGGGAGAATCACTTGGACCTGGGAGGCAGAGGTTTCAGTGAGCCGAGATCACACCACTGCACTCCAGCCTGGGTGACAGAGTGAGACTCTGTCTTAAAAAAAATTAAAACAAACACATAAAAGCAGCTCAAGAAGGCAGTCAGTGCTATGACAGTCGATACAATCCCTGGTGTGTGGAGAGTGCTTACTCAGTGGCAGTGAAGGTCATGACTGAGACGCTGATGTGGCCGTGAGGACGGAGCCCTACCTTGGAGCCGTTGAGGATGTAGTGCTTCCTGTCTTCACTTAGCCTGGCTCTGCTCTGGATTGAGGCTGCATCACTCCCACTGCAGATGCAGAAAAATGTGGTCAAGGAAGAATACTGGGAATAAATATGAATGCTTTCGAGGGCCTGAAAATAGAGATTTTTAGTACTTTTCAGAGAGAGGTCAGCAAACTTTTAGATCAGATAACATACTCGGCTTTCCAAGCTACAGGATGTGTCTCACCTCCTCAACTCTGCTGCTATTAATAGAACATGAACGCAGATGAAGACAATTTGTAAAACGATGGGCATGTTCCAGTAAAACGGAGCCTGGTGTGATGGCTCATGCCTGTAATCCCAGCACTGTGGGAAGCTGAGGTGGGGAGATCACTTGAGGTCAGGAATTTGAGACCAGCCTGGCCAACGTGGTGAGACCTCGTCTCTACTAAAAATACAAAAATTAGCCAGGTGTGGTGGCATATGCCTGTAGTCCCAGCTACTTGGGAGGCTGAGGCAGGCGAATCACTTGAACCTGGGACGTGGAGGTTACAGTGAGATGAGATTGCGTCACTGCACTCCAGCCTGGGCAACACAGTGAGCCTCTGTCTCAAAACAAAACCAGAAACAAAAACAAAAACCCCAAACTTATACCAAAAATACAAAAAATAAAATAAAATAAAATTAGCAGGGCATGGTGGCATGTGCCTGTAATCCCAGGTACTAAGGAGGCTGAGGCAGGAGAATTGCTTGAACCTGGAGGTGGAGGTTGCAGTGAGCTAACATCTCGCTGCTGTACTCCAGCCTGGGCAACAAAGTAAGAATCTGTCTCAAAAAATAAAAAACTTGGGCTTAGGTATAAACATGAAAATCAGTACTTACAGCAGGCTCATTTGCAGTCCTGTAAGGATGAGTTCTGGGCACCCCAAGAAGAACGACTGTTCCCAGGTCCCCATGCAAAGGGAAGCTGGATGGAGTACGGTCCAGGTGATGGACTTATCATCAGAGTCTCAAGTCCTGCCGTAGCCCTGCTCCATCCCAGCAGATCACATGGCCTTACTGAACCTCAGCTCCTAATGTGTAACTGGGAACAGTACCACCCATGCTACAAATTCTGAAACGCACTTTGAAGTCTGAATGTATTACTGTATGTCAAGGTATGTTGTAAACCATAAAAATTCATTTAATAAATGCTGTCAATTGTGGTATCTCACTTGCAAGTCTCACTGGGACAGAGAAAGTCAAGATAAGAGAAATGGCAAGAACAGTTGCTGAGTTGATTCTTTGGAAGATTTTGGAAAGAAGGAAAAGTCAGCTGCTCAAGAAAACCAACAGCCCCTTGCCCAGTGAATCTTGGAAAATACCACGGCTGCTGAGGGATAATCTTCTGTGCGAGGACAGACCTGGCTGGCTCGGTGAGGCAGAAGGCTGCAATGTGCTCCCCAGACGCCAGTTTAGGTAAGTATTTGGCCTTCTGCTCCTCAGTGCCAGCCAAGATGATCCCCTAAAGAAAACAGACACAGACTAATGTCAGCTGTGGGGAGAAAGGAGGGCGTGAGGTGTGCTTCTGAAACATTTCCTTTCTGAGGTAAATATTTACTTCAGTCGAGAGGACAGCAAGAGCTCGGAGCAAGCAGCCACAGGCAGGGAGCCAGGCTGCTGAGGAGACTATCAGGGGTGCACGTGCCAGCACAAGCCTGCGGGACCCACAGTGCTTTGCGGTCTGTGTCTAAAACTTTCCTATCAGTTCCTCCATTTCCCAGCCTGGTGGTCTTGGGCAAGGAAAATCCCTTCCCAAAGGAACCCTCCATCTTGTCACCCACAAACTGGGCCACTCCCACCCACTGGCAGGGTGGTCTGAATGATGAAACATGAAGACACGGGAGTGCAGGAACCAAGCCTATCCTAAAGAAGGTGCTCGGCCGGGCACGGTGGCTCACACCTGTAATTCCAGCACTTTGGGAGGATGAGGCGGGCGGATCACGAGGTCAA